GGGCCCTGGGTTCCTCCTGGTGCAGAGGGCCCTGGGTTCCTCCTGGTGCAGAGGGCCCTGGGTTCCTCCTGGTGCAGTGGGCCCTGGGTTCCTCCTGGTGCAGAGGGCCCTGGGTTCCTCCTGGTGCAGAGGGCCCTGGGTTCCTCCTGGTGCAGTGGGCCCTGGGTTCCTCCTGGTGCAGAGGGCCCTGGGTTCCTCCTGGTGCAGTACGTTGAGCTGATGATGCAGCCTCGCGCTGTGTCCTCCGAGCGACCTCTCGTCTATAACTTCAACAGGAAGTGTTCCGTTTCAAATGACACATGTCACCAGACTTCCTGAATTCACTGTTATAGCTTGGAGGTTCAGTTTCTCTCATTATTTGAAGTTGTGTGTGAGCGGCCTGAGGATGTGGCAGCAGACCTTCTGTCTTATTCTGTCGGTGATCATCACAGGTAAGATCCCTTCTTCTTTGTTCAGGTTGGACGTTGATGATACAACCTTTACTCATTTGTTGTTCAGGAGAGAAAAAGACAATCCACTTGGTTAAAGCTCCAGTGTGAATGACGTAGGGGGGATGTATTGGCAGAAATGAAATATAATATAATAAGTATGTTTTCTTTATTTTATAATCACCTGGAAATAAGAATTGTTGTGTTTCTGTTACCTTAGCATGAGTCGTTTATATCGACATAGGGAGCTGGTTCTTGTTTCTGGAGATGTTCACCATCATGTTTCTACAGTAGCCCAGAACAGACAAACCAAACACTGGCTCTAGATAGAGACATTCAGGTTTTCACGTCGGGCATTGTAGTAGAAGCCCATCTGCGACCAACAGCCTTGTAAAAAAACTGATCTGTCACATGAAACGTCTTCGTTGAGTGTTTTTTTCTGGTTTAAATCAGCTGGTGTGTTTGTTTCTGAGAGGAAGAGACTCTGTGGATCATTCAGCTCCTGAACAATGAACTCTGAAGGAATTCTAATCAGGAGAAGTTTCAGCTGGTTGTAATCTGCAGTCCTCTTTACTCCATGCTAATTAATGACCCTAAATCTAACACAGAACCTTTAAATCAAGTTAAACAGTAGGTCAGTATAACAAAGAGGATTTTAAAGATTCATGCTACGTCTAAGGGCGTTTTCACACTTGGTCCTTTTCAGCCCTGTAAACAGACTCAGAGAAGTGACTCCGCATTTTTTGAGCATATGTGAAGAGAACTCAGACATTGCATCGGACATGATGTAGGTGTTTCTATGACTTCCTGCACAGACTGAAGGCTGCTGGAAAATGTCCGACCTGACAGAAGCTTTTTGTCACCACTTCCTGCTGCAGCCGTCTGCTCTTGTCTACTTTCCAGGCGAGGCGCAGTTCATCTCCAATGGAAAAAAAAAAAAAAAAAATCTCCAACGAGCCTATTATTTTGAAAGATTTCTTTGATTAGATGTTGACATTTAGCCTACAGTTCAGAAGGAGAAGAAGAACTGGGGGTGTGTTCTTGTTGTTGACCCAAAACGCCCATTTTCTGCCACAGATCGACGATATTGCCAAATTTGGCCTCTGGCTCATGGACTCTATCTATCTATCTATCTATCTATCTATCTATCTATCTATCTATCTATCTATCTATCATTGAATTGTTGTCATAGTCTCTTTCCTTTAATAAAACTCAAGTTATTTACAGTAAACCTGTTAGAATGCACCAGAATGCAGGAAATGGCATCTATTTCTTTAAATAATCTATTTCTTCATGATATGATCGTATTGTCATCTGCAGCATCTTTTTTTTTTTTTTTAAATATTCAGGCAGAGATAAAAAACAAAACAAAACTAAAGCAAAACTTTTATTACAGTGTGTTGAAACTTATATCTAGATGAGAAAAGCAGTCTATGTCGGATGCGTCTTTTGAAGTCCGCATCAGCCAAACCAAGCGGTCTCCGAAATCTGGTGTGTGGAGAAGTTTCTGGTTGCACCACCAGTTGTTGTCGCCTGACTTGTTGACGTTCCTGTTACCTGGCAACCACCTGTGCTTGACAAGAGAAGATAACGCGCAACGTTGTTAGTCTGTTATCCGAACAAAACCTTTAGGTTTGACGGCCTCTTGTGTTTCATAACATTTTTATCCTTAGCTATTCGAGTGAGTTGAAACCCAGTATTTACATTTAAAAGTGTAATCTGCTGCCACTGCTGCCGGTGGTGTGTCAGACGCCATAATAAAAACAACCCAATCGTCACCGGTTCGCAGTGCATCCTGGGATAGGCTGGGCCATGAAGGATCATCTGTTGCATCCTCCAAATTCTGAGAAAAAGGCTGCATTTCTTGGTTGCATTTGAAGGAGCCTTCGAAATGGGACGGCCTTGGTCGCGCCAATGTGACGCAATTGGCTGCTGCCCTGAATTGAGGCACGGCTACAGTGACTCTGACTGTTAGGGCGCGTTACATTTCAAATGAGAGCATGCATGTATATGCACACCAAAGGAACAAGAACAGCTTTCAGGTTACTTTGGGTGCCCTGGATGGGTGTTTTTGGTGAATTTTACAGGAACAGTAGGAGGTTGGTCCAAGACATTATTTAGTTCTGTTATAGATCTGTAAAATGGACCCAGGCCATCACTCTTTGGTATCATCATCAGGGAACCAAAACCAAACCAACTCATCCTGTTATAATCTCTTCAGGGTCTTTTTCAGTCTCTGGGGACATGACGGTTTCTCCGGTGGTCTTCGTCCCCAGAGGAGAAGACGCCATCCTCAGCTGCTCCTTCACTCATTCCAGACAACAGGACTACTCAGGGAAGATCGCTGTCAAATGGCTCGCGAGAGAATCAAACGCTCTTCCGTTCATCATCTGTACAGTTAAGAATGACTCCACGGAGGGACTCTGCTCGGTTCCTGAGTTAAAACATTCCCTGCTGGGAGATCCTCGATGGGGGGAGCTGTCCCTCCTCATCAGGAGGGTCCATCTGAGTGATAATGGGACGTACTTCTGCAGGGTGGAGCTGGACGGTTGGAGGAATTCCTTTCAAAAGGGGACACAGCTTTATGTGACAGGTGAGGTCTGATGGTTTCAGAGCTTCTGGATCACCTCTGGTCTGCGACAGCCTGCATCATTTAAAGAGAGAGAAATAATACTTTTGGTCTCAGCTTCTGTCCATTATATTTTCTTCACAGTTAAACCCCAGATCCTGAACCTCTCTGTGGTGGAGTCACACTCCGGCTCAGACAGCGCCTCCCGCAGGCTGCGCTGTGAGGTGGAGGGCCACCCACTGCCCACCGTCACCTGGCTGTCAGCCTCCAGGGGCCTGTTGAAGGACCAGGTCCAGACCTCTACGGTCAGCCCGTACCAGCTGGTCAGCACCGTGCCGTACCTGGAGGAGGATGTGTTCACCTGCAGGGTGGAGAACATGGTGGGTGGAGCAGAGCGGAGGTATCCAGCCAGTTATACTCTGATGATAACAGCTCTGACTGTGTGTGGCCTCGTCGTGCTGCTGCTGCTGTGTGCAGGATTCATCGTCTGCAGGAGGAACAGAGGTGAGCTGTTATAATCTCAAAGATCTTAGTTTTGTCCTCTTTGGCAGCAGCTACGGTTTTAAGACTGTGAGTCCATACACATGTGCTGACTTGGCGTAACTTGTTGATCTGTTGATTTGATGAGCCGGTGACGTCACAGATGTACCGATTTGTTCCACTTCACATGAGCGTCTGTGATATCGTCGTAATGACGTTCTGCTGTGTGGTATTACAGTTTTTCTCAGTCGTTTTGGTACATTTCTCGAATCATCCTCAACATTTGCAAAACAGTAAGTGCATTTCTCAAAACAATTCATACAAATAGCAAAACACCGTGGATTATCTGCAAAAGCCAGTCTCTTGCTCAAAATCCTTAGTTCATCTCTCAAAAGTAAATATCTGTGTCAATGAACATGTCAGTGCCGTCAGAATGACAAGTCCTTGTATGATTGTGTACGGATAAGACAGTCAAATTGCTTAGTCATGTTGTCAATACAACAGTGTGCTCTGGAGCGATGTTCTGATGTAAACTATGGCTAAAGTTTTGATGACAATTATTCTCGTACTCGTACTCGTACTCGTTGTCCTCCGCTTATCCGGGTCCGGGTTGCGGGGGCAGCAGCCTCAGCAAAGAAGCCCAGACAGTCTTCTCCCCCGCCACTTCCGTCAGCTCTTCCGCGGGAACCCCGAGGCGTTCCCAGGCCAGCCGGGCGATGTAGTCCCTCCAGCGTGTTCTGGGGCGGCCCCGAGGTCTCCTCCTGGTTGGACATGCCCGAAACACCTCCCAAGGGAGGCGTCCGGAAGGCATCCTTACCAGATGCCCGAACCACCTCAACTGGCTCCTCTCGATGTGGAGGAGCAGCGGCTCTACTCCGAGTCCCTCCCCGATGTCCGAGCTCCTCACCCTATCCCTAAGGCTGAGCCCAGCCACCCTGCGGAGGAAACTCATTTCGGCCGCTTGTACTCGCGATCTCATTCTTTCGGTCACTACCCAGAGCTCGTGACCATAGGTGAGGGTTGGAACGTAGATCGACCGGTAAATTGAGAGCTTCCCTTTCTGGCTAAGCTCCCTCTTCACCACAACGGACCGGTTAAGCGCCTGCATCACTGCTGACGCCGCCCCAATCCGCCTGTCAATCTCCCGCTCCATCCTACCCTCACTCGTGAACAAGATCCCGAGGTACTTAAACTCCTCCACCTGAAGCAGGACCTCCCCCCCGACCTGGAGTGGGCAATCCACCCTTTTCCGGCTGAGGACCATGGCCTCAGACTTGGAGGTGCTGATTCTCATCCCAGCCGCTTCACACTCGGCTGCGAACCACCCAAGCGAGAGCTGGAGGTCACTGTTCGATGGAGCTAGTAGGACCACGTCATCCGCAAAAAGCAGGGACGAGATCCTCCCGTCACCGAACCTGACACCCTCCACCACTCGGCTGCGCCTAGAAATTCTGTCCATAAAAGTTATGAACAGAACCGGTGACAGGGGCATCCTGTGGGGGGTGCTCCGGGAGTATGGGGTTGGTGGCCCCTTGCTAAGGGCCATCCAGTCCCTGTACCGAAGGAGCATGAGTCTGGTTCGCGTGGCTGGCAGTAAGTCGGATCTGTTCCCGGTGAGGGTTGGACTCCGCCAAGGCTGCCCTTTGTCACCGGTTCTGTTCATGACAATTACTGTAAATTGTAAATTACACCTTAGTGTATGTGGGAGATTGATTGCAATAGACTGGACAAGATTCACATTTACGCTTTTACTGTTTGTACTGTAATTTGTTGACAGACCATGTCATTGCGACACAGAAAGGAAAAGACAGCACTGCATAGCACAAACAAAAAAAACTCCTCCGCCACGCAGCCTCTCTCCTCTTCCTCTTCTTCTTCTCTCTGGCTGTTGACACCGTCCAATTCCTTGTCCTTCCATTGTCAGACATTGTAACATTGTGTTGTGCTCCGGCTATATATATATCAATCAATTTTATTTATAAAGCCCAATATCACAAATCACAATTTGCCTCACAGGGCTTTACAGCATACGACATCCCTCTGTCCTTATGACCCTCACAGCTGATCAGGAAAAACTCCCCAAAAAACCCTTTAACGGGAAAAAAAAACTGTAGAAATCTCATGAAGAGCAACTGAGGAGGGATCCCTCTTCCAGGACTGACAGACGTGCAATAGATGTCGTACAGAACAGATCAGCATAATAAATTAACAGTAATCCACATATACTTGCCAGTTGATGGTTCATGAGATGAACCTTTGAGCTATTTCAGAAAACTGGTTGATCATTGGTTGATCTAATGCTTCACACATTTCCCTTCGTTAGAGAAAGTCAAGATTCACCTGGGAGCAATTTTCCAATTCAGGAGAGATTTAGAAAAAAAGTCTCATGGATAGAATATATGTATAGAAATATGCTTGACTTATTATGACAACTTGTTCAACCATTTTGCATGTAAAGACTTATGCGATGAACTAATGCCTAAATGTTGTGGGGGGTGGGACTATTCAACAGAGACCCATTATAATACATTTTGATCAACATGACATAAGCAGTTGATAATGTAGGAAACAGCAGAGAATTGTACATAATCAATGGATGTACCAAAGCATTTCCAAATTGTTCAAAGAAATGAGAAACTGCTTTTTTGATGTGCACAAGTGACACAATGATGTGAAGACTGAACAAGTAGTTTTGAGAATTTCAATTCTGATCTGAGAAATGTTCCAAAGCGAATGAGAAAAACTGTAACAGCTTCTCCAGAGCTGAAGTATCGTGAGGCTTCACCTCGAGGGCTCCATGATCAAATTATGTTCGTCTTTCGTATCAGTAAAAGTTGAATCACACCGTGACAAACGACTGTTAGTGTTTTTTTGTTTGCGGAGCAATTTTAATGACAGTGCTCGCCTCCCCACATCCAGATGTTCCACCAACGCAAGTTTAACCCTGACACTGTACTGCAAGAGCACCATCGCTGCCTCCTGGGCTTAGCTCCGCCCAACGTGACTGTGATTGGTTTAAAGAAACAAACAAGCCGGAGCTTTTCTTTCCGCCATAGCTGAAAGATAATCAGTGATTCCAGACCTTTCTCTGGCGCTGACACAGAGCTGTGGAGACAGGTCCGGCTGCGTGAGACCAATACAGCATCGACAGAATGTGTATGTTGATGGTTGTTTTGTTTGACAGCAGATTATTGATTGAATGACACCCAGCTCTTAATACTGCAGTGGCTCTTATCTTCTTCTTCACTGATGTAGACAACCGACCAGGTCTCACTCCAAAGTTGTTGAATACCGGTTTGGTCAGAACCGTCGTTTTTAGCGAGTCATCACTGCATCTTCCAGAGGCTTTTTAGGTACCAGACTTGGGTGTATTTAGCCACCCGTCACTGTGTTTTCACCAGAGATAGTGATGGGAAAAGCAGTTATTTTTTTACCGAGACACCATCACTGCATTAGCAACTAGGTCTCACTCAGAAGTTGTCGAATACTGGCGTTTGGTCAGTGACTCGTCGCGTCAGACACCGATCGTCGCGTCAGACACCGATCGTCGCGTCAGACACTGATGAAAAAAGCCATCCTGTTATGTTGGCATGACTTGCGGCTGGTCACCTTTGCTCTCTAACGGCCTCAGGCAGCATCAGGGGGAAATGCGGCTGGATAACTTCGTAAGTCAAGGGAGCGAAAGTCATTGTAGGGTGGGAGGGGTGGTGGATGGGTCCAACAACCTCCGACTTACACCCTGGAGGCTGGTGTTCACTTCCTGTAAGATTGTAAAGCCAAACCCTGTTCTTTTTACTAAACCCAACCATGTGTGTGTTGCTGAAGGAAAAAAACATCAATTTGCAGTGCTGCACCAACGTAGTGCTTTTATTTTGAAAGAGACTGTATGCAAACTGTACATTTCCTGTGAAAACAGAAGTGTATTTTGAAAACAGACAATGCATGTAACAGGCTGTACAAGACAGTGGCGCTCTGACCGTGGCCCAGACTCCACAGCACCTGCAGGGAGGAATGCTGGGAGTGCTGAGGGTGGCTAAACGTGCAGGGCAGCACCACCGGGTAGCCCTCCATGGCTCGGACCTCCGACTGCACGTTCATGGACCAGCCGTCATCTCCGCTGAGGGCCACTGGGGAGGGGGAAGAATATCTATGGTTTAATGTCACAACTCAACAAGAAAAATAACTTGAGAGCCTGCGTATGATGCCTCCCCACACATATGAATGCATCAGCTCAGTCGCTATAGAAAATGTTTCTGCGAACCTCTATCATATCAGCGTTTCTGAAGTGATGCAGTGATGCCTGCCAGGCTACAAACAGTTTATATTTAGTCATTGCTGCATCTTCTGGCAGATTGTTAGCCATCAGACTTGGGTGTTTTTTAACAACCTGTCAGTGTGTTTTCACCAGAGGAAACGCATTTGGTTTTTTTCCTGAGACATCACTGCATTAGCACCCTGGTCTCACTCTAAAGTCCTCAGAAACCAGCGCTTAGCTTCAGCGTCAGACACTGACGAAAAAAGCTGTCCTTTCACATCGGCATGATACATAGCTGGTTGCTGTTAATGTTTAACAGCGCCGGTGCATCGGGGGAAATGTGGCGGGACAACAACCACAGTTAAAGGGATAGTGCACCCAAAAATGAAAATTCAGCCATTATCTACTCACCCATATGCCAAGAGAGGCTCAGGTGAAGTTTTAGAGTCAAGAACCACAAAATATCTCCATACTGCTCGTCCAGGCTACAATGAGGCTAAAAACAGAGTTCAAATGAGGTTTTTCCAAACAACTTTTTATGTCGGGGCTTCAGGACACTTGGATCACTACTGACGAGCAGTATGGAGATATTTTGTGGTTTCAATTATGTGTTTTTGGACGTTTGAATCTGGGGCGCCGTCAGCCTCCATTAGGTGGAGTTGTGTTGCTACCTCCTCTCCCCTTGGATCTCTGCAAGTGATGTGAGGACTCTAAAACTTCACCTGAGCCTCCCTCGGCATATGGCTGAGTAGATAATGGCTGAATTTTCATTTTTGGGTGCACTATCCCTTTAAGTCAGCGGAGTCTGAGTACGGCGGGTGGGAGTTTGTGGTGGATTGGTTCAACAACCACAGACTTCCACCCAAGAGGCCAGTGTTCACTTCCTGTAAGATTGTAAAGCCAAACTCTGCTCTTCTGTTCTTTTTTACGAAACCCAACCACGTGTTTTTGTTGTAGAGGGAAAGAAAATGTCAAACTGCAGTGTTGTACTGAGGTAGTGTGTTTATTTTGACATAAATCAGACAATGCATGTAACAGGCTGAAGTTGACACGGCGTCCCAGAACGTCAACAACCAACACACCCAGGGTACCTTGGACGTCATATGTGGACGTGGAAAGTCCATGACCAAACGTGGACATGTGACGAGGTCACAGTGAGGATGAGTTGGCATTAGTGAGTAGTTTTGTAGCAACCCATTGCTCTTTTCCCGGCAGGTGTAGTAGGCTACCACGAAAAGCGGTTGTATTCTACTGAGACCTCGCTGTTTTTTCAACTGAGATTGTGGCTCTATGTGATGAGGGCGGGGTGAGAACGTGTTGGGAAAACTTGTATTTCAGGTCAGTCTTCACTTAGATGAATAAAGGAATAAATTGATGAGCCTCGGTTGTCTTTACTTAAATGTTACTTTATTACAAAACAAGTCTGATGTCAGAGAAGATCCTGGTGCAGTGCGGACACGGACACAGAAATAACCAAAACTTAGAGTCACATTATATTCAGTCAGCTTTATACAGTCTGTGCCCTGTCATCAAGAGTCACCAGGGTGGAGGCAAAACGTAGTGTAACTGTCAGTCCAGACTATTTACCATCAAGGTCTTTGTCTAAACCTCCACACACCCTGCACCTCCTCATATACAGCATGCAGAGTCTCTAATAAATGTCTAATAAATGTTTCTACTACAGTCATCAAATTATTTTTCCCTTTATCTGCAGCTCGTGTTGAGTCGCCTCCTGTTTATGAAAACACGACTGCAGGTAAGTGAAGTCAACCTGCTTCAGTCAGAACAGTGAAACTTTCACAGCCTAAAACCTTTAAAACGAGGAACAGGTGCTTTCGTTTTTCCTTTCACTACCTCCTCCGACACTGTGGGAGAATCTGACAAACCACTGTTTATATTCCACCATCCAAACCTAAGTATTTTATATATTTCTTCTACAAAACACAATCAGAATGTTTCAGTCACATTAAAAGACTTGTTTGAAACTAAACTTTTCTCTGGAAGCTGAGCACAGCTGTGCTTGAGTTAATTATTTTGTTATCTTGAAAAAACATCCTCTGTCTCCTGATATGATCAACCTGTTATCACTAGATAACACCAGATTTTTTTCAGGCATTACACAGCTTTTTACAGGTTATCTGTCGGGTACGTGACCCAGCGCAGGACTCTGATGTGTATAGGTTAAAATTAGTGCAATCACCTGAGCGGTGTATTTCCATCACTGCCGATTGGAGCCGGAGCCGATGAATACCCATGACCACGAGGACGCGTCTCAAGCCCGTTGTAGACGGGAGGTTCCAAATGTAAAAACGGATTCAGTGCAGTTGTTCTCAGCTTCCGTACTTTCTCTCCAATCTCATACAAACTTCAGAAATGTCACATTATTCTGAAAAGACCTGATTCATCATGTCTTCATTTCTTCAACAACACAAACAAACAAACAAACAAACAAATGGTTAACACTGGCTCTTGTGTCTGTTTTCTCATGTTATATCTGAAGTGGAGAATCATCACCTGCACGAGTCCGACTGTCCCGTTGAGGGCGACGTTGAGCTTCAGCTGGTTTACTCCGCTGTCAGTATGACCAACTCCACTTCCTGTGAGTGCTAACTGATAAATATTTAATATATAAGGAAGTTATTAAAGTGACTCCTGAACCGAAGAGTATTTTGAGAGATCCTCCATCCTACAGATTTATCTTTGCTGATTGTAGTTTTGAAATGTTCTGTTGGTTTTGTTATCGTCACTGAAACTAGTTTGAGAAAGATTTTACTGTCTTTTATGAACACGCATCCTGTTGGGCAGTTATTTAAAGTTTAACTGAAAACAACTGCAGTGGTTCTGGATGTCCGTGCAGAACACACCACTCTCAAAATGATGGAGGAGGCTCACACAAACGTTGTTCTTATGCAATCATTTGAAGATTCTTAAATTCAAGAATAAAATTCTGGTCATAGTTGTTACTATCTGATCTGAACTCTTTCCACAGAACATGTTTTCTCATGTTACAGCAATAAAAGTGCAGAAAGTCGTTAACATGAATAATGACTGTGATGGTCCAGTGTCAAGGTTCTGGTTCTGTGCATGCAACCAAACCAAAGCACCAGGATAAATGTTGGCATTTCATGTTTCTGCAAACCTTTATGTACGTTTCAATAACGCTAGGGTTAATGTGTAATGTACCTGATCTTCAGAGCACAGTCGATGCCTAAGACACAGCGATGTCTCGCAAAAACACAACTGCTTTTCATGCCAAGATCCCGGCTGAAAACAAAAAGCAACAGGTCACTGATAAACATCCACGTTTTGGGCTAATATGCAGCTGGAGACACAGCAATGACTCACAAACAAAAAACGATTGTGTTGTTTGTTGGTGTCGAACAGTGGTCTGCAGCTTGGCAGGCACTTTGCATTCTGTTATGACAGATCGACTTAGGAGCCAAAATGCAAACACAACCAGGAAACTGTGTTAAAGGCAGTTTATTGTAGTTTGAAGAGGTGGAGCTGAAGGCTTGAATGAAATGACGGTGGAGGTGAGCAGGGAATAATGAAGCAGAGCAGGCAGATTAGCTGAAGGCGGAGCAGTCTAAATCCTGAGGCAGAGGATTAGAATGAGGCTGGACGTGGCTGCTTATGGTTGAGGCTGGTGTGGTGAACCTGAGACACAGAGCAGAGTGTGAACTCATGTCCCAAAAAGTACAATAAGACAAAGTGTCAAAAAAACTGCAGAGGAGATTGAACAACAGGAGGAGTGAACTAGAGGTGTGAGCCGGTTTATATACAGCAGTGGTTTGATTGCAGATGAGGCTCAGGTGTGCAGGTTCAGCAGCTGCTGGCACTCAGGAGGGTCGGCAGGAGGAGGGAACCAGGAGGCAAACACAGAGACCTACTGCAGAAAAACATGAGACACAAGGGAGAGGCAAAGCTGAAACCCTAACACATCCAGTAGGTGTCACACCATCAGCCATCCCCCCCACGTCCTGATGACAAAGTCAGCTTATATACGTCACTTTAGAAACACTGATATGATGCTGCAAAATACAAATGTGAAGTATTCATGGTTTGCAAAAACGTACAATGTCAGCATGCAGTGTAAATCACATGCATCCTCACAGGACAGGTAAACATGACTGAGCTGCCGAGCTGAAGCAAATTCAAACTGTATTAAACTTTATTTTTTCTGCGTCAACAAAACATGAGTCATGGTTTGCTGCTGTGAACACGCTCAGGTCTGATGTCTGATGTGTGAGCTGACGGTAAAAGAAGCAACATCAGGTCTTGTTTTTGGACGTCCTCAGGTTTTGTCCTTCAGCCTCCTCCCTCCCGTAGAACAGATGACACTCATTTGAATTGCAAAGTGAAATAAATAATCTACACAAAGCAGCTGCTTCATTCTAATAAGAGTTTTTTTTTCTTTGCAGCTCAACATAAGAGTTTGAGAAGCTCCTCACAGCAGCAGCAGCAGCAGCAGCAGGAGCCAGGTGAGTTCAGTCATACTCTCCTAGCAAAGATGGTGCACAGTGAATTGGCCGAATTGAATGATGAATTGTTTAATCATAAATCTACAGAGTATTTTCAAGGTGAAAATAATCAGTTGCTAAATAACAAGTTTCAGCCTCATTATAAATCACTTTGATTCATTCACAAGTGTCTGCTTGCTAACACGATGCTGCTTGTTATTTCAGGTGTCATCTACTCTCCTGTGAACATTCAGTCGAGAGTGAGGTGTGAAAAATATATTTATTTTGAATGTATTTATGTCTTTACTGCAGTACTGTAGGTGTGGGGCATAAAGACCTGCTTTTATGTTGTGTAGACCTGAGACAAAGATGTTGATGCATCACCTCTGTGTGTGTGTGTGTGTTTTTCTTCTTGTATAAGATGTGAGGGAAATTCTCGTCTCTGAAGAAGTGACAGACTCGGTGTGAGGAATCAAGTCTCTTAAATGAATGCAGCATGGAGAGAAGACCCAAGTGTTCTCTGCCAACCTTCAGAGTGTACAGACTTTTATACCAGACTGAAACTCTGACCCCAGTTTGCACCCACAAGCTGCACTTGTAAAGGAGATTGCCCCCCATAAAACAGGTTTACCAGCACAGGAAACTTTCCTAAACGAAAGGACATGACGAGAAAGGAAATCAGCCCCCAATACAGACTCCTGGATAATTGCCACATAAGACTGTTTGCAGATATTCATTTGTGGAGTATGTGGAGTCTTGTATAAAAACATTCAGTCTTGTTTGTGTTGTAATCCTGTGCCTTCCCCAAATTAAATGGGAAAATGAAATTAAAAAGTTGTATTATCATATTATACTGACGTTAAGCAGAAACAGTTACTTTTTGTATTCATGTATCCTTTGTTCTTTATTTCTCAGGAACAACAAAGAAAGGCCTGTCTCTGATGCTGTTCTATGATGTTTAAATGAAAACGTATTAATAAGGCCGGCTGTTTAATTTGTTTAACAGCTGATTCACTGGAAAAACAGGAGGAGCGGTGCTTTATGGTTTTAAATATGTGTTGAATGGCAGTTAAAGATAAAGGTGTTATTTCAGTCAGGACCACTTCAGTCAAAAAAACTTTATTTCCATTTGTAGTATTATATTTGGTGGTATGACTCTGTTCTAGGGCCTCTCTGCCCTTCCACGTGCCTACGAGGAAAGCCTAAAGTCAATTTCAGATGAAAGATCCATGACGAGACAAGTTGAAGCAGACAGCTACTGTTGGCACTCCGTTCTGTAACATTGTAAAAAGCTGCCAGTTCACAGGAAGTGACCACCATGAGACGGCATATCATCTCTAATCAGCAACTCTCTGTGCTTCTGATCTGTAACGTTGACAGGAAGTGACCACCATGAGACAGCGTATCATCTCTAGTCAACAACTCTCTGTACTTCCGTTCTGATTTGCAGCTTTTCAGACTTATTTTGTGGCTGAATATAATTTGTAGCTTCTTAAAATCTGAATGAGGATAGTGATAGTGAGATACTGGCTGCAGTGATGAAACAAAACCAGCATCAGATGGACTGTATTCATAATCAATACGCCACAATAATATAAATAACCAGCGCCAATTCATCAGTCAATGAGAATGTGTGTGTGTGTGGGCGGGGCATAAGCACATACAGTGAGCAACAGGGACGGAGCACCTGTTGCAGCAAGCCAACACACCGTCTGCAGTCATTTTGACTTGACCAGCTGACTTCACTACAAGCTGATTGGCTGTTGAAACAGGTGACGTGCTTTTAAACCAGCTGCCGGCCATTTGACCAGCTGAGTGTCAGGTGACACCAACAGCCGGCTTGAGTCGAGCTCAGACCGGCCAGTTCACACTGCTGACACTTTTCTCTGCAACGTTCTAAAACTGTTTTGTCTCGTCACGAATCTTTAGTCTGAACTGGAGAGAGCACTCCTCTCTGCCCTTCCATGTGCCTACATGTAAAGCCTAAGGCAGGGAGAGCAGCAGCAAAGACCCCTGGGAACAGAACAGAGCAGCATCAATGACAAACAGAAATGACACTGATAAGTCAGACACAATATGAAAAGGAGGAGCTGGGGTGGAGGCAGGTTGCAGAGGAAGCAGCAACAGTAGGCAGCCCAGAGCAGATTAAATAGGGCGCCCTGAGTGAGAAAGGAATCATGTGATCTATCAGCTGACTCCCTTCCATCAATCAGCTGATCCATCAGTGGTGGGAACGGGTCTTTATAGTTGCTACCAGCTCACACAGTCTGTCGTGATTGTTCCAGCTGCTGTGTGTCTTCATGTTGTCCAACAGGGGGAGCCACAGGTCAACTGAACCGTAGTGCTCACAGTCTTTACTCTTGTTCTGGCTCTGTTGTTCCTGGTTTGGGCCTCTTTGTTCAATGAAAGGAAATTTTGATGCAAACAATGATATTTACATGGATGGATGAATGACAAGGCCGACCAGGCTGAGGCAGTGGGGCCCCGGGGGTCAGCGGGCCCCCTGAGCCTGAGCCTATTATCAACATTTGTCATTAGAAGGTCAAAAAGTCACTGAGAGCTGAGTGAGACGTGTCGCTCCTGTTAGTGGAAATAACAGATCTGGGGCCTCATTTATAAAAGAGTGCTTAGGATTCATACTAAAAGTTGACGTGCGCCCAAAAGCTGAAAATGGCGTGCGCCAAAAAATAATCTGATTTATAAAACCGTGCGCACGCACACTTGCACGCAATGTTCTCTTTATAAATCACAGACCTGGAGTTGTGCGCACCCAGATCCGCCTCATATTCCGCCCTCTACACACCCTAGTTCAACCATAAATGGTCATGCAAATCACCTCATGAATGCAATCTGCATATACAGTTAGGTCCATAATTATTTGGACAATGATACAGTTGTCGTCATTTTGGCTCTGTGCACCACCACAATGGGTTTTAAATGAAACAATTAATACCTGCTTGAAGTGCAGACTCTCAGCTTTCACTTAAGGGTTTTTTCAAAAATGTAGTATGAACCGTGTAGGAATTACAACCATTTCTTCACACAGTCCCCCGACTTTAAGGGCTCATAAGTATTTGGACAAACTAACATAATCATCAATTAAACAGTCAGTTTTAATACTTGGTTGCAAATCCTTTACAGTCAATGACTGCCTGAAGTGTTGGACACATAGGCATCATCAGATGCTGGGTTTCTTCCCTGGTGATGCTCTGCCAGCCCTTTACT